CTTTCGCAGCTTCTTCTAGGCTTTTTCCACCGTAGGGACTTGGTGATAGAGAGCCTAGTGACCAGACTAAAACTAGGGTGTTTCAGTGTGGATGCGACGCCTTGAAAACGGAGTGGGGGCGAGTGTGGGTGTGGTGGTGCACGCCTTTAATCCCAAACACTCGGGAAGCAGAGGCAGGTAGACCGCTGTGAGTTCAGAGGCCAGCCTGGACAGCTAGGAGAGAGACCATGTCTCAAAAAAAGAAAGTGTTTGCGTGGAGGTGATGTTTATCAGTGAGGAGCGTTTCGCTGTACAGATGGTGAACGCAGGCTGGAGCTCTGAGGCTTCTTTTCGGAGCAAGATGCAGCACTATTGTAGCTTCGCATCTACAGTTAATCTCTACGGTTTCGAGTCTGTGTTTTACTTCCGGATCCCACACTTACGACACCGGAAGCCGGAAGCGGGAGTTTCCACAGCCGACAAAGGAAGGGTGACCGCTTAACTACGACTTTCTGGGAGCTCGGATTCACTCTGAGAGGTCGGATCCCGCTGTTCCCGCCCTCTTCACTTCTGGCTGACTCTGCTGACAGGTGCGGTCCTCTTCTCCAAAGACAGGGCTCCATCGGTGGCCGTTCCGCAGCTTCCGAGGCTCCTGAGTCCCCACCCCACCCCCCTTGGGCCCAGTTTGTACTGTCGCATGCTTTCGCATGCTTTTAGAGCATTGGTTCAGGAGTGCTGATTCGCGACCCAGCTTCCCTCTGCTGCAGCTGTCGCCTAAAGGCTTCGGAGACATTTTTCTGTTGATCAAACTTAGTTTTCTGAAACAATATCTCGCGATGTGGGCCAGGCAGACCAGGCAGACCTCGAACTCAAGATTCTCCTCCCTCAGCCTTTTCGAGTGCCAGATAATAGGTGTGCGCCACCAGACCAAGCTGTTTATCAAACTTTAGTGCATTTGAAGTCTTTAAAAAGTTTTCAAGTGTATCTTGACAGCTAAATATCTTATGCGTCTCTGCTCACTTTGCAAATGATTAGTAATTTATCGGTCTGTTCTCATACCATTGATCTGATCTGAGAATGAATGTGTTGTCTTGGTATTTCTTAGAAAAAAGGAAGGACCGGTAGCAGAAACAGAGAGAGTCAGGGAGGAATAGTTGATGAAGAGGAAGGAAAGTAGGGGAATTAGGTAGTATAGGGCCTTGTAGGCTGTTGTACAGACTTTTTTTTTTTTTTTTTTTTTTTGCACTGGGAGAAATGGGAACTCTGATAGGGTTCTTAGTAGAAGGGAGGGAGAAGTAGTCTGGGTTATCTTTGAGGTAACTGGCCCCAGTGGGGTCAGTTGATTGTAAAGGGCAAGGGAAGAAGCAAAGCATTGTGATTTGTAAAGAGATTATTGCAGTCATCCATGGGGAAGATGATAGTGCTGTCAGCCCCTTATTATCGAAAACTTTAAAAACGTATAAAAGTAAGTTCCATGTACACATTTCTTTAGCTGTCTCTATCAACTCATAGCTAAGTTTAATTCACACCCCTTTACGGTCTTCTACCATGGTTATTTTATTCTTTAGAAAAGATGTTATTTTATGTGTATGGGTGTGTTGACTGTGAGTATGTATGTGTACTTCATGCTTGCTGAGTATGTATGTGTACTACATGGTTGTCTGGTGCTAAAGGATGTCAGAAGAAGGTGTCAGGTCCCCTTGGATTGGAGTTACAGATGTTTGTGAGCCACCATGTGGGTGCTGGGAACTGTCCTCCGCAGCAACAGCAAGTGCTCTTAACCACTGAGTCATCATCTCTCTTCCCCCACCCATTATGATTTTCAGTAGCAACTTTCTTGAGACATAATTTGCATGCTGCACCATTCACGTTTAAAAATAAAAAATATTCATTTACTGTTACTGTGTGTGTGTGGGTGGGGGGAGGTAGCATAGGTGCCATGACCTGAATGTGTAGAGGTCAGAGGACAATGTTGTTGAGCCAACTCTCTCCTTTACACCTTTACTTGTGTTCTCAGATCTCAAGGCTTGCATAACAAGGGCCTTTATCCACTGAGATATCTCACTTGCCCATAATTCAAAATTTTTGGAGATAGAGTCTCATGAAGATCCCTTTCTTTTGAGTTCTAACCCTCCTGCTTTTACTTTCCAAGTGCTGGGATTATAGAAGTATACTACCACACCTGGCTACAATTCACATATTTAAGGTGTATAATTCAGTGGTTTTTAGTGGATTCATGGGAGTGTGCAAACATCACTAATTGCAGAACATTGTCATCACCCCCAAAAGAAATCCTAAGAAACCCCAATCCACCAAATCTAAGTAACCACTAAACTACTTTCTGTCTGGATTTACGTGTTTTTGGATATTTATTATGAGTGGAAGTACATACAGTATTTAGTGTTTGGTAACATTTCTTTCTTTTAGCAATTATTTAGAGCATGTGTTATTGTTTTGGCATGTGGCTGTACTAGATTTTGCTTATTTATCAGTTGATGGACATTTGGATTGTTTCCTCTCTGGCTGCTTTGAGTAATGCTGCTGCTGTGATGATTTATATATGGACTTGTGTTTTCATTTCTTTTGGATATATCCTTAGGCATCTCCCTTTTATTATGCAGTGAATTTCAGACATGTGAGTATTTCATTATGCATCTTTCAGAAAGAACACTAAATAAACATAATTACAATACTATGATCACATTAAAATACTTAATGTTATAGAGGTTCTTCATGAATTTGTTATGATGAGGGAGGGAGAAGAAAAGGAACAGAGAAACTATTCGAACAAACAAGCAAACAAAACCACAGAAATATTCAAGCTTTTTGTTCTGATAATTGGGGGATGGATTTGTTTTCAGCTGATAGTAAGGGAAGTTGTGGGTAGAAGTGGATTTGGGAGACTCACTTTTTTGGGTAGTGCTGGGGATCCAGGATCTGGTGAATGTTTGGCAAGTGCTTTATTGCCGAACTATACCTCTAGCCCTGAAAAATTAATTTTGAGACTACCTCTGTGTGTGTGTGTGTGTGTGTGTGTGTGTGTGTGTGTGTGTGTGCGTGCGCGCGCGCACATGTGTGCATGCCTAGGAGACCAGAAGAGTACGTTAGATCCCTGGAGCTTGAGTTATAGATGGTTATGAACTGCCCAACATGGGTACTGGGAAGTAAACTTGACTCCTCTGGAAGAGCACTGAGCACTCCTAACAGGTGAACTATCTCTTTAGCCCCTTGAGTAGACTTCTAAACATCAAAGTATTTTGATATGTGAGTCTGGAATTCAGGAGTGAGAACTGTTTGTGATATTATCAACATTAAAATTTGGGTTAAAACCATGAGACTGGCTAGAATTGCTGCAGGGGTGAATGTAGTTAGGAAAAAGGTCCCCAGGCACCGCAACATGAAGGAATGGGAACTCAGTGAAAGGGCCTCAGCAGGATCGCCCTTTGAGGGAATGAGAGACACCAGAAGAGGCTTTTCTGGAAGCTGAAGGAAGAAAGAAGGTGAAGAGGGAAGGGTCAGCTGGGTGAGCTCAGGCAGATGGATCTATGGGTATCAACACTTTTAGTGTAAATAGCCAAGATTCTTCAAGTGTTACAGGCATCCTTCCTTACTGAAGGCCCACTTCTGGAAGCTTGCATTGAGATTATACTCTTCCTGATAGTCAGTCAGGCAGGGTTTAGAAAGTCTCCAGGTAAACTCTATCCTGCATGTCCTCCATTTGACTTACAAGCCAACCTAAACAGATCAGGGGTTATGTGTCTCACACTGACACCCCAAGTCCCACTTTCAAAATTCTTAGCATACAGAAGACACCAGAGTTCTCTTCTATCCCCAAGGCACTCCTCAGGTACAGTATCGTTTCCTGTGAGTCCTGTAAGAAATGACCACAGGCCTGGTAGCTTAAAACAACAGAAATTTGATATCTCACAGTTCTGGAGGCCAGGAGAATAAAACCAGAGGGTCAACAAAGCCACACTCCATCTGCAAATTGTACAAGAACATCCTTCCTGTGTTTTTTAGCTGCTGGTGCTGCTGGTGGCTCAGTTGTTCTTTAGTTTGTGATTATATCAGTCTAGTCTCAGCTTCTGTCTTCTCATGCCTGTCTCCCTGTATGTTTTTCTTCTCTCTTCTGTCTCTTTTGTGTGTATATGAGGAGTTGGGAATTGTACCCAGGGCCTTGTTTATGATAGGTAAGTGCTCTACCACTGAACTACATTTCCAGTCCTGTCTCACCTGTCTTTCAGAAGGATACTTGTTATTGGGGTGATGGTCCTCCCATGTAACTTATGATGATCTCAATTTGAGGGCCTTAACTTTTGTGAGACTGGTTCTTACTACTATGTAGGTCAGGCTGGCCTTGAACTTAGAGAGATTTACCTGACTCTGCCTCCTAAGTGCTGGGATTTAAGGTGTGCACTACCATTCCTGACTTGAGATCTTTAATTTAACCACATCTGTAAAGATCCTTTTTTTCCAAGTAAGTCACATTTGTAGGGAAAGAGGACAAGCTATTAAGTCATGGTGGGTAGGGGGGAAAAGTGGGCTATAAGCATCAGTAGGAGTATGTTTGATATTTCTTGGGATACAGCAAGCATTTAGGTGGTAGGGGATATAGTTTTCCTTTGGGAGAGAAGGTTTTTTCCCCCTAAGATGGAGTGTGGTCTGCTTTTGAAAGGGTGTTGTCAGCTCCAGTGAGAAGACATATTTGAGTTGCAGGGATTAGGACATGGATATATGAACCATTCTACTACATTAAGTGAGGGGCCAGGACTCTCTGCTTCTACTTGAAGGTATATGGAGGAGATAGGATTCCCACTACACTGTCCTTTCCTTCCACAAATAACTCTCTCTCTTTGGAATGGGAATATTTGCTACATCTTAGACCCAGACTCCACTTTTATATTGTATCTGGTTCCACCAGATAAAATGTCCAGCCTTTTCCTGTGAATTAAAGTCTAGGGCTTCTGTATAGGTTGACCGAATTCTGCTCTGTGTCATGCACTCCTACTGTCTTTTTCTAGATACTGTTTTGTTGGATGAGCAGGCACCTCTGGAAGAATCAGTTGAGTGAGATGGTGCAGCCCAGTGGTGGCCCAGCAGGGGACCAGGACATGCAGAGTGAAGAATCTTCTCTGGGAAAGCCGGCAATGTTACATCTGCCTTCAGAGCAGGGTACTTCTGAGACTCTCCAGCGCTGCCTGGAAGAGAACCAAGAGCTCCGAGGTGAAGGTTGCATTGTGAGGGAGGCATGGAGTAAAATAGTCAGGAGTGGCCTGGCACACTAAGGACAAAACTTATTTTCACCTGCACCTCATTATTGGTAGGCTATGAGGCCATGATTTGCCTAAGAACCAGCCAGCATTTCAAACTTAGCCCTCTTCCTGCTTGGTTTCAGGTGGGGTTCTCTGTGAAGATTCACATATAGGAAATAATGTGGTTTCAGGGACAGCACCAGGAAGAGGGAAGGAGAAGGGAAAGGGGAAGGAGGACAAGCTGAGAAGCCATGGAGGGTGGGGGTGGGGGGAAATGGGCTATAGGGATCAATGGGAGTAGGTTTGATCTTTCTCAGGACACAGCAACCTTTAAGGTGGGAGAGAATATGGTTTTCCTTGGGAGAGAGAGGGTTTTGTCCTAAGATGCAGTGTGGCCTGCTCTTGGAAGGGCATGGTCAACTCTGGTGAGAAGAGGTCTTTGAGTGTGTCTCCTGCGCAGGCAGCCTATCTCCTTTCTCATGTCACCCTCACTTTTGCAAGGTGGTTGTTAACTGTTATTGAATATGCAGCTGAAGACGATGAAACTCAGAGATATCACTAACTTGTTCTGTCTGAACCTTCTGGACTCCCAGGCGGTAGCCAGAAACTATGCAGTGAGATTTGCCTTGGGGACTGTCTCCCTAACTCCCCAAGTCTGCAGGCATGTTTAGCATCCCCTGATCTTGAAGACAGAGATGCAGGCCTGGGAGACTGGAACTGAGTGCTTCAGGGTAGAGCTACCTCCAATTGACCAGAATATAAATGAAGCACTTAAAGAAGAAAGCTGCATTTGATGTATCCCTTTAAGTGAGGGTGATGTGTTTAGTAATGCATTGCAAACACTTGGGAGCATATCATCAGTGGAATTGATTTGACTTCTTTGAGAAAGGCCACCTAGTATTATGGGAGTGCCTGGCAGTCAGGACCCTCATCTCCTTTGCTGTCTTCCCTGTCCCCAGATGCCATCCGGCAGAGTAATCAGATGCTAAGAGAATGCTGTGAGGAGCTGCTGCATTTTCAGGTCAGCCAGCGGAAGGAGAAGGAGTTCCTCATGTGCAAATTCCAGGAAGCCAGGAAACTGGTAGAGAGACTGAGCTTGGAGAAGCTTGACCTGCAGAGACAGAGGGAACAGGCCTTAAAGGATTTGGAGCACCTGAAGAAATGCCAGCAGGTAACTGGTGGGTGGGCAGGCCCTTCTGCCTCACTTGTGTTTGAAAACTATAATAACATGCATATTCTCATAGGAGGCATGTTGTTGGGGGATCCCCCAGGACCTCTTCTGGCTTGATTGCTAGGGGCACTTTCAGAACCAAGAGAAGCCATCACACTCACTGTTAGTTTATTACATTGAAAGGGTCTACATTAAAATTATCCAAGGTACAAGGCATGTGGGCAGGAGCCAGGAGAGGACAGATGCGAGCTTCTCAGGGAGTAGTGCTTTTGCTGTGAGCAGTTGGGGCAGTGTACACGGAGCAATGTCACCCAGGAAGCATACCTATGTCTTGGGTTTATATTGGGCTCACTTATGAAGGCATGGAGTGCTTGGGTACCTGACCCAGCTTGCTCAGGTCCTAGCCACCCTGAAGTCCAGCTGGTGCCATACCATGTTTGTAAGGCCCTCACTTATACCCTGCCATCAGCCCAGAAAGCCTAGTAGAATCCTAGACCCTTGTTAAACCAAGGCACTCTCATCAGGCAGGATTTCCCAGGGGGCCCAGAGATGTTCCTCAGGAGCCTTTGGAGAAGTATATGGTCCCAGGCCTTTAAGTTGGCCCTTGTATTGCATTGTCCCCAAAGGAAGGTGTGCTTAGTGTGGGATGACAGGGTATTTTGGGGCCTTTTGGACTGGCAGATTTCAGGACCCCAGTGACAATAGTTGAGCAGGGATTGTGTTATCTGGCAGGGGTAATCCTGGAAGAAAGATTAGGGAAGACCTGCCAGAGTCAGGTTTTACGGTATAGGGCTAAGTTCACAGTGCTGCTGGGAGTGCCTGGTCAAAGCATTTAGTTTCTATCTAGGGAGACAGCAGCAAGGTACCACGTACTTGGGGCTTCGATAACAGATTGTCCCCAGTTTTGGAGGTTAGAGGTCTAAGATGGAGGTATGGGTAGTTTCCTCACAAGGGCTATTCCAGGTACTTCTCCAAGTGTATTATCAGTGTTGGCAGTCTTTGGTGCTCCCCAGCTCTCTTGTCACATGGCCTTTCTGTCTCTTCTCTTAAAATTTTTATTACATTTTATTTTGTGTAGTGTGTGTGTGTGTGTCTGTGCAAGCACTCACACATGCGGGCATGTATATGTCATGCTGAGGACAACTTGCAGGAATCAGTTCTCTTTCTACCATGTATGTCCCAGGGATTGAATGCAGGTTGTCAGGCTTCATGGCAGGCATCTTTACCTGCTGAGACCTGCTGAGTTGTCTCAAGACCCTCCTCTCTTTTTATAAGAATACCAATGTGAAACATAAAGGTGGACAGTTGTTAAAGTCATGGAAACAGGTTTTTTTTTCCAGTAACTGATGTCAGTGAGAGGGAAAGGGCTAGCTGAACTCTGGTGATCTGCAGAGGTGACTGGGTATTTTATCTTCTTTTAAGATTTATTTTTATTGATGTGTTTGGATGTTTGTGTCTGTGTATGTAATGTGTGCAGATGCCCCTTGGAGGCCAAAAGGGAGCGTCAAATCCCCTTGAACTGCAATTCCAGGTAGCTGTAAGCTACTAGATGGTCATGGTGCTAAGAACTAAATTCTGATCTAAAAAGCAGCAAATACTCTTCTTAACCACTAAGTCATCTCTCTACCTAATGACTGGGAATTTTAAAATAAGAATAGGGACCTGAGTGTGGTTCAGTAATAATAATACATACTTTGCATGTGTAAGGCCTGGAATTTAGTTTCTAGTACTTCAAAAAATAAGACAAAGACAGAAATAGAGATAGAAAGAAAATGAAGGATTTGGGCAGGAGAAGGAGCTCAAGTGAATGACAAAGGGTATTAGTGTCAATGTAATGAGGCCAGTGTATTTATAATCTTCTACAATCAAATGTAGGATTTTATTATACCATGAGACTGGGAGTCTGAGTCCTATCCTTTCTGATGATTTCATTTTAAAGGAGTGGCATTCAGGTTTTTGAGACAGGGTTAGGGCCATAGGAAATACATGGACTTTGAGAGGGATAGAGGAAGGAGTCATGACTGGTAGTACTTATTAGCCTTCCAGCCTATGTAGTGTTGGCCAAATTAGTCAGTTCCTTTAACAGCTCTAAGTATTTGCAAGTAGGAACTAGGAAGGGGCCTGGGATATTCGAGGAATGTGATCTTAAGCTGTTTGAAAATATATTAAGGTTTGGTCAACCTTAAAGTTTGGCTGAGCTGAGTATGGTTTAGTCTCAGCACTCAGGACAGATTGTGGGGGTTGAGTCTCTCATTCTACCATGTGGGTTTTAAAGATCAAAATCAGGTCATGGGCCTTGGTGGTAAGTACCTTTACCCGATGAGTCTTCTTGCTGGTTCAGCTCTTAGTATTTAAAAAGTTCAGTATTTTCTCTCATTTTTTTTGATGAGACTTCTTACTTTTTGTGTATATAGACTAGGTTGTTAATTTTTGTGGATGTCTTTGAGTCTGGTCTCCTTTTACAGAGTTTCAAAGAGACTGAGAAAGATTCACTACCAGCTGAAAGTCTAGGTTGGTGACTTGGGGAGGACAGATAGCTATTGAGCTAATGAGGCTCCAATATACCTAGGTTTATAGGTACTAAGGGGCAGGAGAATCCCTTAGTACATCAGCTACTTGCAGACTGCCTCAGGTCTTGTGGATGCTAAAAGTGGGCATCGTGGGAGAAAGTAGTACTGATAGGAAATGACCTTTTCTCTTGCAGCAGATGGCTGAGGACAAGGCCTCTGTGAAAGCCCAGGTGACATCATTACTGGGGGAACTCCAGGAAAGCCAGAGTCGCTTGGAAGCTGCCACCAAAGAACGGCAAACTTTAGAGGGAAGGTGAGTGGGCAGGGGAAGCTAGCCCAGGAGGCCCTTTCCAGGGTTTTGAATGAGGCAAATGTAGGAGTCCCTAGGAGTTCCTCTGATTTCCTGGGGCCCTCAGGGTGGCTCTGGTCCAACATCTATGAATCTAGTTCCACTTTTGTTTCCAGTTTACTGGGTGCCTTAGTTAGGGTTTCTATTGCTGTGAAGAGACACCTCAAAGCCCACCCCAGTAACATACTTTCTCCAACAAGGCCACACCTACTCCAACAAGGCCACATGTCTTAAGCTTTTCAAATAATGATGCTCCATATGAGCCTATCAGGGCTATTTTCATTCAAACCATTACACTCAGGATCAGTTTATTCTTTAGGAACCATTGCAGTGCCCCCTAAGACTACACGCAATATCTCACTAATCAGACTGAAGTTTATCATAGGAAAGGCATGCAATGGGATTCTACCAAGGCCGAAAGTCTTAGATGAAGAAGACTGAATACATTTTACCCCTATGAAAAGCACAGAGCCCCCTTAAGCTATTTCTAACTAGGGACTGTGAACCTCATGTTCACATTGGCAGAAAAGAGTGTTTGATTGACTTTGCCAAGTAGTGGTCTTAGGTCTTGCCAAGGGGATTGGGTTGCCATGTGAGACCATGTCACAGACATGGGCATTTTTGTGCCTATCTTACTGCCTTGTTGCTGTCCTCCAGATAGTTGGTGAAGGGTAGCCTTGGCCTTTTCAGTACAGTAGGTAGTCATTAGGTTGGTGGAGCAGTGGATTGGGGCTCCTGTCCTGTGGGAGGGAGGAGAGTTCGATTTGGGCTCAGAGACCACTGGTCATGGTGGCTAGGGGACAGACGATGTGCGCAAAAGCCTAAGGGGAGCAGGCCCAGTAGTCTAGATCTGCCTTGGCAAAGTTGGGGTGACCTATGGTCAGAGGTTACCTCAGAGGCCTATGGACATGCCCATTATTGCCTTTGTAATGGACACATAGGGAAGTACCAGGGTGATGAAGCTAGTGCTTGGGCTCTAGGGTTTAAGGGAAGCTGTGGGGTGCTGTGGACCAGGATCAGAAGATGTAGGGACTATGGGTGAAATAGGTGAGACAACTTAAAGCTTTTACAGTGAGAGTATAGAGGGAGAGATGAATTCTCTTGAGACTTTGATGCCATCTTCTGTTCCATGAGGCTGTATAACTCAGGTATGGAACTTGAGCCTCCAATGAGGGTGCCTGGGACTCCGAACAGTCTCTTGATATCCCTTTATCCAGACTGTTTTGGCATCTTCTCAGTGACTCCTCCCACCTGGTCCCAGCAGCAGCTTAGGATGCAGGTACCTAAATCCCTTTCCTAGTCTATCTCCTTGCCAACTGCACGTGATTGTCTGTTGGGCATAAGAAGCAAACACGTCGGGAGATGTTTCTTTTTATTTATTATATATGTCTTTTACATCATGTATCTCGATCCCATTTATTTCCCTGTTCTTTTTGATCCTCCTTCCTTCCTGATCCTCCTTCCTTCCCTGCACCCCCAAATAAAACAAAATTTAAGAGAAAAAAGGAAAAAAAATTAAAAAGGGAAAGAATTAAAAATTTCATCATGGAAGCTGCAGTGTGACACAGTGAATCACACCGTAAATCCCTTTGTTCATATATCGTTATTTGCAAGTGTTCATTGCAGAGTCATTGGTCTTGTTTGAGGCCTTTGGTTTCCATTACACTATCAATACTGGGCCCTCACTAGGACTCCTCTTGGATATCCTGTTGTCGCCCTGTGTTGTGGAGCTCCTGCAGCATTGGATCTCTGGGTCACGTCCCTTCACATGCTCCAGCAGATCATAGATGGGTGGATGTTGGGGTGGGCCAACTCATAACCCTGGAACTGGGCCTGGGCAGTTGTAGGGTTGGTCTGCCAGCCAGTTCTCCCCTGTCCTCACCACCAGGGTAAGTTCTCCAGCATTACCCCGGCTAATTCACCTCTTTCAGCAATGAGCAAGGGTGAGGCCAATTTTTCTGTTTTCATGTCCTCAGGGTCAGCTCTCCCACACTGATACTGTTAGGGCCAGCTCATGTTGTGTTGCCAGGGACCTCTCTCCTGAGTACTGCAGTTGGTGAGGGGTGGGAACAGCTTTTCCTCTCTTATGACCCCAGGGTCAGCTCCTCCACACTTCTCAGGTGTTAATGGGCTGGAGGTGGGGCTACCACATGCCAAATGAGGAATGAGGGCAACTTTCCATTGCTCATAACATCAGGGTTGGGTCACCCTCACCTTCAGCCACTGGGCATCTCTTTGCTGCCTAGGCAAGGGACAGGGACTGTTAACTAAGTGCTACAGCTGGTAAGGGGGAGGGTCGGCTCTCTTGTCTGTTGGAGGTGGTAAGGGGCATGGGGTAAAGGAGGGACATCTTTCACCCTCCCACATTGCCACGCAACAGGCAAGTAGTGGGGACAGCTCTCCCATGCTTACAACTTTGGGGCTATCTCACCCACACCTCTGCCAACAAGGTTGGCTCTATTGTGTTACCCAGGTGAGGTATAGGGTCTGCTCTCTTAAGTGTTGTAACTGGTGAGGGGCAGGGACAGCTTTCACAGTCTTAATTGACTTCAGGGCTATTTCCAGGAGATGTTTCTTTTTTCTGGGTGTCATGGTTTTTTTACTTTGCCATCAGTTAGTTCTTAGACACTGGCTATTCAGGACCTGACCCCTTCCCTAGGCTGCCTTGTTCCAGCCCCCTCAGTGTGTTCTTTTTTGTTGTATGTCAGGATGCGAGCAGTTAGTGAACAGGTTAGACAGCTGGAGAGTGAACGGGAAGTGCTGCAGCAGCAGCACAGCGTGCAGGTGGACCAGCTGCGCATGCAGAACCAGAGTGTGGAGGCTGCCCTGCGAATGGAGCGTCAGGCTGCTTCAGAGGAGAAGTGAGTGGCTGGGAGGGTTGGAACCACGAGATCCCAGAGCACCCATGTTGCTTTCTGTCTTCTGGGGAGTCCTGGTAGGGATTGGCTGTGTTTAGAAGAGCTGACTTTCTCCCTTTGCTTTGCTAATGAAAGAGTCCACTATTATATGTAAACAGAAGTATTTTCCATCCATATTCATAGTTTAGTATATGTCCTACACAGGTTTTTTCACCACAGTTGAAGTATGCTCTTGGTGTAAGGAAAACAAGGAATCACGGTGCCTCAAGCTGGCCCTAAAGACTCATCTGGGCCCACAATCCATGCACAGGCTCTAAACATGCTATTGGCATCTGGTTCAGCTTCCATTTGAGTTTTCTTTAATTTAGAACAATTTCCCTGACTTTTTGTTTTGTACAGAATGCAGTCAAGTGCTATTTTATTATAAACATTTCACCTATTTATTTTCTTTTTGGTGCTAGAAATGGAGCATTGGACCTCAAGCACACTAGCCAAAGGTTCTACTCCTGAGTTGTACCCTAGCCCTTGTTAGAAACATCCCAAGATGTTGGCTTTAAGAAAAACATGAACTATGTAGCAGCCAAATCAGTTACAGTGTATTCTTGTAGTCAGCGAAGCCAACCTTAGAGTTGATGGCCTCAGGAGCCCACATATAATCCAGGAAGCCCACATTTCAGGTCTTTTATGGGACAAGAATAAAGAGGGGGAAGCTGTACCAGGTAAGCTGTTTCTCCAGTGACAGCTCCTTTTGTACAGGAGGAAGCTGGCTCAGTTGCAGGCAGCCTATCACCAGCTCTTCCAAGATTATGACAGTCACATCAAGAGCAGCAAGGTGAGTGGAGAACACAAGCTAGTAAGTATGGCTGCCCTGGGCTGTCCAGGGAAAGATTTTTTTCCTTCTTCCCCCATGTACTTGAAGCAGGAGCAATGGGACCTTTGAAATATAGCTCCTCTAACTTTTGGAAGGGACTCTCAAATTGCCTGACACCTTCATTAGGGCTGCAGTTCTGACAGTTTAGAGATGGCTACAAGGAAATGGGATGCATCCGCAGGACCTTCAAATACTCAGTTTATAGAACAAGGATGCTTTTTCTGCATGGTCATTCCTTCATGCTCAGAGCCAGGGGGGAAGTCTCAGAGACATTTCTTTTTCTCTTAAAACATTTTTTATACTTATTTATTTTATGTATAGAAATGTTTCCTTGCATATATGTATGTGCATTAAGTGTGTGCTTGGTACCTTTGGAAGACAGAAAAGAATGATGGATTCCTTGGAACTGGAGTTACAGATGGTTGTGAATACCTTGTGGGTTCTGGGAACTGAACCTGGGTCCTCTCCAACAACAAGTGTTCTTGACTGCTGAGCCGTCTTTCCAGCCTCTTCTTCTATCCCCCAGAAACATTTCTAGGGTGATTTGGAGCTCTTTTTTAGTTTATCTTCATCAGCCCTAAGCTGGGCACAGTTTCTAGTGTTCACTTTGTACGTATGCATATGTATTAATATATGTAGAATTCAGAGGATGACATTGGTGTTATTTCTTAGGAGCTATACATGTTCAGCTCTTTATCTTATATTGGTTCTGGGGCTTGAATTCTGAACTGACTGAACTATCTCCATAGCCTATTCTTTTTTAGTTTTTTAATGACAAGGTCTTGTATAACCCAGGCTGGACTTGAACTCTTAAGTGGCTGAGACTGGCCTTGAACTCCTGATTCTCTTGCCTCCATTTTCCATGTGCTGAGATAACAAGTGTGTGCCACCATGACTAGTTTATTAGCTGTTCTTTTTCTTCTAAATAGAATGGATAATGTTGATAATTATTTACAACCTAGTGCTCATATGAGACATTTTAACAAGGTTATCAAAAGCTCACATATTGATGCTGGCTGTGATGACACACACCTTTAATCCCAGCACTCAGGAGGCTGATGCAGACAGATCTCTGTGCATTCGAGGCTAACCTGCTCTACATAGTAAGTTCCAGGATAGTCAGGGCTATAGAAAGAAGTCCTGTCTCAAAACAAAACAACTCCCCTCCCCAAGCCATCCCCCAGTTGAATAACAACTCCAGAGAGCAGTAAGAAGCCAAATGATATTAACAGATTAGAGAAACTGTTTTCTGAAAGCATTTCTGACTCTCAATAAATTTCTTAGAATTGTTTATCATAAAGATCTCTGCAGTTCTACTTCAGTGCAGCTACGCAAGATGAAGTGTCTGAAGAGGGATTCACAAAAATGGGAGTATATCTGTTTTTCCATGAATAAAATGAGGAGAACTAGATGAAAAGGCAGTTGAACAAAATCAAACCCCATGATGTGTATGTGTGTGTGTATGTGTGTGTAGTACAACTGTATAAAAAATAATTCTTATAGTTGCAGAGTTTAGTTAAACAAAATTTTGTATTATATATTTTATTTTAACAGGCAATTGTGGTTAAAACAGTCATTAAAATCTGACCCCTCCCTAAACATGCATTTAAAATTTTAGACTATGAACTGGGTGTTTCCACTGCCATAATGATTACTACATCTCCATGAAAACATTTTTTCATCTGCAGTTACAACTATGAAATTTTTTTTTTACCTTCTGTGAAAAGGTGAGCTCTTCTAGCCTTTAAATATGGCCTTAATTCAGAAAGTGTATGAACAACTTTTGAAAGACACTATAAAATTGCACAAGTAGATTAAAAATATTTGAATACTATTATTCCTAGCAAATACATTAAGGGAGGGCTCAAATAATAAAAGCATGAAGACCTCTCTTCATAAAAAAATTATTATGAAATGAGTTAACTCAGATATTAATTTAAAAATAAAAACCTATGTTTTCTTATTTGTCTAAAATTTAAATAATTACTTTAATAATAGAAGTCAAATGAGAAAAAATTTTGAAAGCTAACACAAAATTGTGCATAGTTACTCAAAGTTAGTGGTCACATTTTAAGAAGGACATTGTCATCCATAATGTACGCTGAGATTTATAAGGATTAAGCATAAAACTAGGTCACATGATGAAGAACTATAAATAGCTGCTTAAGGGATTAGAAAGATGGTTTAATGGTTAAGAGCACTTGTTTTTTTCAGAGGACCCAAGTTCAGTTCCCAGCACCCGTATTAGGTGGCTAATAGCCACTTGCAACTCCAGCTGTGGGGAATCTGATACTATCTCTGACTTCTGTGGGTACCTACACACATGTGGCACACATACACACATATGTAAATTAAGACTCTTTTTAAAAATTATTTTTCATCTATTTTCATCTATTTATTTTACATTGTGGCCACAGACTCCCCTTTATCCTCCCCACCCAGGCCCTCTCCTATCCCTCCCTCCCATCCCCAACCCCCTCCTCTTCTGTCTCCATTTAGAAAAGGACAGGTCTCCCATGAGTATCAATAAAACATGCCATATCAGGTTGCAGAAAGGCTAAGTACCTCCCCATGTATTAAAGCTGGGCAAGACAATGCAGTATGACGAGTAGGGTTCAAAAGCTAGTAAGAGAGTCAGAGACAGCCCATATTTCTACTGTTAGGTGTAACATGATGGCTGACTTGTTGGGGTTTTCTGTCCTGCTCAGTTCCCACAGCTGTTTAGCCCCAAAGAAAATCACACAGAGATCTCTATAAGTTATAAAGCTGATTGGCTCATGCTACTTATTTGCTCTTGTAGCTTATATTAACCCATTGTTCTTATCTATGCTAGCCACATGTTTCAGTACCTTTCTCAACAGGCAGCTCACATCTTACTTCTTCAGAGTCTGGGCAGGAGTGGGCAGAATCAGCTTTCTCCTTCCTAGAATTCTCTTGTTCTCATTGCATCACCTCTACTTCCTGTCTGGTTTTCCCGACTATACTTCCTGCTTGGCCAATCAGCGTTTATTTAAAACATGATTGACAGAATACAGACAATTCTCCTGCACCACTTCCCCCTCTTTTTTTAATTTTTTTATTTTTTAAAAAAGGGAAATATTCATAGTCCATTTTTTTGGGAATGTAGGAGTAGTATTCTAGGCTACTTCCAGCTGGTTGGTGGCACTGATAATCTTATGGGGACCTAAAGAAAATTTAGAGTTATGATCAAGTCCTGACTGGAGTATCCTGTGAGTCTTTATCATCTCAGGCAGCAGTCTTGAACCTGTTCTGGATATAGAACTTAGACATCTGGGCCATCTACTCCTGCCGGAGAGGTCTCAGGTGGTCATCCTTGATCAAAGCTGATTTTTTTTAACTCTGAATAAATCCAGAGCCTTTCATTTTCTGTGGAAACAAAAGCAAAATCTCTTCTCCAAAGTAACATACCTTTTGACTTCAGTTTTAAAGTCAAGGTATTTTCAAAATACCTATCTTGGATTAATTCTGCAGCATTTATAAGCAAATATCTTTTAGCAGCTGTTGTTCTTTCCTCAGCATTCAAACAATTTAAAGAGAGCATAATAGCATACAGTATCAAGATTCTCTGTATATTTTCCATCTTTACGTGGGTTTATTCTAACCTCTATTTCTTTTATTTTTACTTTTAACTTTTGGCTTTTTGAGACAGGTTCTCTGTGTATCTTTGTCCTGAAACTCCCTCTGTAGACCAGACTGTCCTTGAACTCACAGAGATCCATCTGTCTCTGCCTCCCCAGTGCTGGGATTAAAGGTGTGTACCACCACAGCCAGCTTCTCTCTCTCTCTCTTTCTCTCTTTCTCTCTCTCTCTTTCTTTTTTAACTTTCAGAACTTTAACCTTTAGCCTGTATATATTTTTAACACACTGTAAACCATTTAGAGGTTTTCTTCCTCTTTGAATCTCTTTTTACTGTATATCTCTCTTTTTCTGACCACATGGGTCTTTAATTTGCTAAGGAATATGGAGAAGTTTTTTGCCATAACTCTATGGCGTTTCAAGGTCCTTGCCAGCAAGCAAGCTGCAATAGTGTGCCCATAAACAACACTCAAAAGCTCCTATGGTGTTTCCTTGCCAGGAAGCAAGCTGCAACAGTGTATCCATAGCTCCATAGTCTGGACAGCCTGCTTGAAAGAGTCAGAGTTTTCCCTGGCAGGATGGCCCAGAAAGCCGGCATTTTAAAATAGTGCAGCTTTTTTCTTGCTATTACTGAAAACCAAAATGCTTTACTCTAGTCTTTCCCAAGCTTTCTCAGGCTTTCTGTGGATGCAGTTATCCACGTGGGTGCCATTTGTAACATGAACAGGGCCTGCTTGTTGGGGGTTTACTCTAGTCTTCTGTAACATGAGGGCCAGCTTGTTTGTGTTTCTGTCTCGCCTGATACCCCACCGCCGGCAAGCCCCAAAGAAAATCACACAGAGATCTCTATAAGTTATAAAGCTGATTGGCCCATTAGCTCATGCTACTTATTTGCTCTTGTAACTTATATTAACCCATTGTTCTTATCTATGCTAGCCACATGTTTCAGTACCTTTCTCAACAGGGCAGCTCACATCTTACTTCTTTGGAGTCTGGGCAGGAGTGGGCGGAATCAGCTTCCTCCTTCCCAGAATTCTCTTGTTCTCATTGCATCACCTCTACTTCCTGTCTGGTTTTCCCACATATACTTCCTGCCCAGCTAATCAGCGTTTATTTAAAACATGATTGACAGAATATCGACAATTTTCCCGCACCAGTTAGGAGTCCCACAAGAGGACCAAGCTACCGCGGTCAGTCCCATACAGGCTTCCTGTTTGTCAGTTTAGTTTCTGTGAGCCCCTGAACCCAGTTTAGTTGATTGTGTGAGCCTTCCCATGATGTCCTTAACCCCTTTGGCTCCTATACACTTTCCTCCCCTTCTGCAGGATTCTTGAACTCCACCTAATGTTTGGCTGTGGGTCAGTTGCTGGATGACACCTCTCGGATGACTATTGGGCCAGACACCAATCTGGTCACAGGAGATAGCCAATTCAGGCTACTTATCCACTATTGCTAGGAAGCCAAGCTGGGATCCTCCCTATAGACTCCAGGGAGATTCCCCTGCTCCAGGCTTCTGCCTGACTCCCAAATGCTCCCCCAGCAGTCCCTCTCAATACTCTCTTCCTCCGTGCCCCTTCCAACCTGATCACTCATGTTCCTATCCCCACCCATCCTCAGTCCACTCACGAAATCTCTTGCCAGGGAGATTTGGGTTGTAGCATGAATTCTAATTGGTCTTAATAAATAAAACCCAGAGTCAGATATTAGTGGGTGAAAGCTGAGAGATCAGGGAAGCAGTGTGGCGAGCCACTAGAGAGACCTTTTCTTTCTACCAATGCTCAGACCGAAGGGGCAGTCTTGTCCTCAGACTATCTCTTCAGACTGCTTTATTCTATAGCTAATATCCACTTAGGAGTGAGTACATAATATGTTGTCTTTCTCCGTCTGGGTTATTACACAAAATACAAACAGAAGGAACATTGCCAAATTCTTTTTATGAGGCCATGGTCACCCTGATATTCAAACCACACTAAAATTCAAGAAAGAAAGAGAATTGCAGACCTGTTTCACTCACGAATATTGATGCAAAAATACTCAATACTGGCAAACCAAATTCAAGAACACATCAAAAAGATCATCCACTGTGACTGAGAAAATCTTTTACAAATGGCTGCTTAATCTCTGGGGGGAATTATTGGTTGAGAGCATGGGTGCATATGTATTGTGTGTGTTTGTGTGTGTGTGTGTGTGTGTGTGTGTGTGTGAGAGAGAGAGAGAGAGAGAGAGAGAGAGAGAGAGAGAGAGAAGCAGACCTTTGACCAAGTGGCAGAGTGGAAGAAGCAGTAGGTTGCAGTCTTTTGCAGCCTTGCTTGGTGTATGGTGGGCCTGCAGTATGTAGAGAGTTACTGCATAGTACTTGCTCAACTTTGGAGTGGGAAGCCTCAGAAGAGAGAATGGCTCCTGTCCTTGAAGAGTTAAGAGGAAGGCTGCCTAGCTGGAAATTCTCTGAAGGGTTTGACACAGAGTAGGAGGCAGTGCTTTATATATCCTCAGAGTTCTTATCAGTCCTAAGATCTTTGTGCATCCTAAGAAAGACCTCAGCATTTCTTCTGTATTAAAGGGCCACAGCAGGATTCAGTCTTCTCCCTGCATACATTGAGATTTTGTCATTTGCCCCGAAGTCCAAAGGACTGGATTTGCTCCAGCTTTTGCTTCTTAGTTCTCAGAACAGTGGCCAGCCAGGGAAGTAGTTTGGCCCCACTGTAGGCCAAGAGACTCTGCCTTTTGTCCTCTCTAGGGCATGCAGCTAGAAGATCTGAGGCAACAGCTCCAGCAAGCTGAGGAGGCCCTGGTAGCCAAACAGGAATTGATTGATAAGCTGAAAGAAGAGGCTGAGCAGCACAAGATTGTGATGGAGACTGTGCCAGTCCTGAAGGCCCAGGTGAGAGCTCTGCTTCTGCCTGTCTGTCACGTGAGTGGCCTACTGTCCCAGGCAGTGGGGTCTGGTGTACCCCTTTGGCATCATTTTTGGTGGCCTCTTTTAGTCTTCTTGAGTCCTTTGCACCTCCTTTGAGTCCTTGACCTCTTGGTGCCCTTGCGATCACAGGCTTTCATATCTGTTCCTGGTGTACTATCATGTGATCTTTGGGGACAGGACAAGACTCTGTTTCTCTGGGGGCATAGCATAGAATGCTTGATGGGCAGCTGATGGATGATTGGCATACCTTTGTTCTATTTGCCAGGCGGATATCTACAAGGCTGACTTCCAAGCTGAGAGGCATGCCCGGGAAAAGCTGGTGGAGAAGAAGGAACTTTTGCAGGAGCAGCTGGAGCAGCTGCAGCGCGAGTTCAACAAACTGAAGACTGGCTGCCATGAGTCAGCCAGGTGGGCCTCCAAGAGTGTAGACAGGAGCACAGGCATATACTAGCAGCAACCAGAAGTAGCTACAGGAGGTTGATGGCTCTTGGTGTTTGTGTTAAGTTCCCTGTACCTCTTGCTGCTCTCCCCATGTCTTGTCCTTTCAACAGTGACCTTTCCCACTTGTCCAGCTAGAAACTTCACTGAAATGCATGTATTGAGAGGTATCTAAGACTGGAGTTTTTGTGGGGATATATTAGGTTTCATAGTGTCTTTGTTTGGTTTCTATTGCTGTAATAATCACCATGACCAAAAACAACTTGGGGAGGAAAGGGTTTATTTCAGCTTACAGTTAATAATCCATCATGGAAAGAAGTCGGGGCTGGAATCTGGAGGCAGAAACTGAAGCATAGGCCACAGGGGAATGCTGTTTACTGGCTTGCTCAGCTTGCTTTCTTATATAACCCAGGCCCAGAAGTCTAGGGGTTGCACCATTCACTGTAGGCTGGACATCCTACATCAATTATTAATCAAGAAAAAGCCCCCACAAACTTATCTACAATTTATTGGAGACAATTCCTTAATTGAGATTCTCTTTTTCCAGTTTGTGTTAAGTTGTCAAAAGCCAACCAGCACAATTAACCCCTTGTCAACTTGACATAAAACACACCACTATTAAACCATAACCTTTTCTTTCTTGTTTGTCCTCCAATTCATGTTAAAAATCACAATATAAAATATAAATTTAGAATAGGCGTGGTGATTTATGCCTTTAATCACAGCACTTGGGAGGCAGATGAAACTTTGAGTTTGAGGCCAGCCTGGTCTACAGAGTGAGTTTCAGGACAGCCAGGGCTGTTACACAGAGAAACTATGTCTCAATAACCAAAAAACAACCAAAAACCCCCATAAATGTAAAAGTCCCACAGTCTTTAAGACATCCCACCACCCATTAAAAAAATAAATGTCTCTGTAAACGTCTAAATGGGCTCCTATAAAATAATAAGTTACATATGTTCTTACTCTAAGAATGAAGAGCCATGGCACAGTCACAATCAAATAAAAAAGCAACAACAAAATTCAACAGTGTAAATGCAATGCTTGATGTCTGGGACCCACACTCATGATCCTCTGAGCTCCAAAGGGCTTGGGCAGCTATACCTCCCTGGTTTTGCCATTTATAGTACACATAGCTTGTCTCATAAGCTTGGGCTGGCTTTGCTCCACAGCTTTTGCTCTCCTTGGTGGTTTTCCTATGGTACTGGCATCTCCAATATGCTGGGGTCTCCACTGCTCTGAGGATGCACCTTCACCAATAGCTTCTCCTGACCTCTCAAGTAGTGCCAAACCTCAGCTACTTTCCATGACCCCTTCATATTATCCTGTTTGACTGATAGCATGAGTTACAGCCTTGGCCACATCTGGACCAGAGCTTCATTGTCATGACCCTGAGGAGATACTCTCTAGATTTTAGAGTCTAGAAGATTTCACCTCAATCATGCTGGTCTTTTCTTGATCATAGCTGCTTTATCAGCTTCAGTTAACCAGCATCAAATGTCCCAGGAAAGCAAAGGTTTTACTTTAGTGCTTCTGGTTTCTTGTTCATCCCACCTGATTCTTCAGCACCAGCTGACCAGAACTAATTCTGAATTAAGAACAGATTCTTAATTCAAAATACCACATATATGGCCATGATAGAATCTTTGCTTCCCTCTAAAACTTCACAAGCTAGACCTTCATCATCTGCATTGCTCTTAGTATTCTTATCTTTCTGGCTCCCAAAGGACAGCCCATAAAGTTCTAACTAAATGGCGTTTCCAGTCCAAAGTTCCAAAGTCCTTCCACAGTCTTCCAGAAAACAACACGGCCAGGTCTGTCTTAGCAGGTTCCCCAAGAACCTGGTACTAATGTCTGTCTTAGTTTGGTTACTGTTGCTGTGATAAACACCATGATCCAAAACAACTTGGAGAGGAAAGAGTTTATTTCAGCTTACAGTTGTAGTTAATCATGGGGAAGTCATGGCAGGAACTTGGGGAACTGAAGTAGAAATCATGGAGGAACTGCTTTTTGGCTTGTTCTCCATGGCTTGCTCAGCTTGCTTATACAGCCCAGGTGCTTACCCAATGGATGGCACCATCCCAAGTGAACTAGGCCCTCTCACATCAATTATCAATGAAGAAAATGCTCTTCAGGCTTGCCTCCAGGTCAATCTAATGGGGACATTTACTCATTTGAAGTTTTCTTTTATCAGATACTTCAGTTTGAGTCAAATTGATATAAAAAAATAAATAAAAGAACCTAACCAGTACAAATAGAATTCCCTCAAATTTCTGTCTACCTAAAACCTCAGAATCTGACCTCATTTGGAAATAGTATCTTTGCATATGTAATTAGTTAACATAAGGTGTAAAAGGAGTGGCAGGCCGTTTCCTGCTGCCCGCCCGGCAAGCTTTACCCAAAATAATTACACGGAAACTGTATTGTTTTAAACACTGCCTGGCCCATTATCTGTAGCCTCTTATTAGCTAACTCTCACATCTTGATTAACCCATTTCTATTAATGTGTGTAGCACCACGAGGTGGTGGCTTACCAGGAAAGATCTTAACCTGCGTCCATCTTGGAGAGGAGAGCTATAGCGTCTGCCTCATTGCCTTCTTCCTCCCAGCGTTCTGTTCTGTCTTCCCCACCTACCTATATTCTGACCTATCAGGCCAAGCAGTTTTTTTTATTAATTAACCAATGAGAGTAACACATTGACTGATGACCCTCCTCCATCAATAAGGTCACATCAAGTTAATTAATTGGCTGTGGTCCTTATAGAAACATCACATTAAGACACAGAAGGCAGCCCCAAGAAGGCCAGGGCCAACACTGGGATTCCGTTACTAGCCAAGAAATACTAAGGAATCATTTAACTACCACTAGCTAGAGGAGGGCATGGTACTTCTGCCCAGTCCTCTGACATGTTGATTTAGGACACTTGGCTTGCATCGAGTACATTTTTGTTATTTTAAGCCACTAGGTATGTGGTAGTTTGTAGTAAGATTCTGAGGAAACTGATATAGGGGGAATCCAAGAGTAATTGAAAAGATTCTAAAATTATACAGATGATTGGACAGGCTAAATATAGTAAAAACAACTGAACAATACAGATTAAATTGGTGAATTGTATGGTATATGAATTATATCTCAATGAAGGTGTTTATTCATTAAAAAACCCTGCAGGCATTGATTGAATGGTTTTTGTTTTCAAAGGATTGAGGATATGAGGAAGCGGCATGTAGAGACTTCTCAGCCCCCTTTACTCCCTGCTCCAGGTGAGTGAACAGGTTGTAGATGGTGGAGGAGATGGACAGGAAGGGCAGAATATTGTGCTGAGGGAAAAGCATGCATTAACCTCCCTGCTGCTCTCATTTGGGGAACTCTTGTTGGCTACCCCCATCAGTAGCCTGCACCACCTTGAGGCAAAAGGAGGAATGTGCTAGTAGAGATGGCTCCCAGCCACACATACAGTCAAATATGGTGGGATCAGTAAGTTTCAGTACCTTGTTAGCCTCTCCTTCCCTTTGAGGTCTACCCAGTCTATGCATGAAGCCTACCCAGCTGGCCTCTGTTCTTTTTTTTTTTTTCTCAGCTCACCACTCCTTTCATCTGACCTTACCCAACCAGCGGAGAAGCCCTCCCGAGGAACCACCTGACTTCTGTTGTCCCAAGTGCCAGTATCAGGCTCCTGATATGGACACTCTACAGATACATGTCATGGAGTGCATAGAGTAGAAGCAGCAGATGTAAGGCCACTTGTAATACCATGTCCTGAACTATGCAACTTACGCTTTCCTGTTTCACCTGCATAGTCCACAATTAAGGGCTTGATGTCAAAGAGCTGGCCTTAGGACCTAGCAGGACCCTTGCTTTAGCTCTTTGGTCTGCTAGTTCCCCCATTAGGGTAGACAGCCCTAGTCAGGATTTTTTTTCCGTCTTTTTTCTATGTGCCTGAGCCACTTGCCTCTGGTAGCTTCTTCCTCCCTCTTTTCCCATTCTCCTAGGGGGTCTAGAATGGAGGCCAGAGGCTCTCAGGGAGCACCCTTTCTCTAAGCAGGACTGGGTGCAGCTCTTCTTCCCTCCAGCTGGTACCTTTCTTGCCCTGAGCTGTAGGCTGTCCTCCCAGAGCATGTGGCACGTAAGGCCATAACATGTGTTGCCTCTGATGGACATTTGGGAAGTATTCTGTCTTTTGCTACTATAAGTAACGGTGCAGTGAAAGTACTTGTGCACTGATCTGTGTGTACCTTTAAGACATATGCTTAGATGTAGCATTGGAGCCTTGCTGTGGAGGAGGTTGGTGGACCTTTGTGTTTCTGCCATCTGCTAGACATGCTATTTTTTACTAAAGAGTATGCCAAAGTGTCTTTTTCTGGGGTATATGGGCCTTTTTAAATTCCACTCATGTAACTTGGATTTTCATATTTTCTACCCATTTTCCTGTTACATCATTGCCATTTGTTCTTGGGCTTTGGGAAGCTTTTTGATCATTAGTCAGGTTAGCTCTTGTCTATCACAGAAATTGCACACCTTGTTCCATTTTGGTGGTGTTACTGTTTTGGGGCCTAGAAGCTGTTTATGTACTCACACCCATACTTTCCTCCATATTTTGGCTTTGGAGTTTTGGCTGCTTTGTGGTCTGACCAAAGACTTTCACATACATGTTTTTCTTATTCCAGCACCAGTGTGCTCTTGTCTTTGTGAAGCACATTCTTGTCTTGTGTGAATGGTTGTTTCTATAGTTCATCACACTTCAGGAGTTTGTGATGGCATGTTCTCCACCAGCCTAAATGTTCTTTCTTGGGAACCATTTAGTAGCGACTGGCAGATTGTGAACAAGGGAACTCTTCACTTGTTTTGCAAGGCAGTAGACATTTTCTGGAACCTTACAGTCATTGTTATTAGCCTTGCAATTCTAGTAAAGAAAAGGAAGTTGGAGTTGAGAAAGCAATAGATGTGACTTGCTGACTCCTCAGATCTGAAACCCTTCCTGCCCTCCTGAATGCTTTCATAGTTCTGAGTGGGATCTGTAAATCCATTCCTGTTCTGGGGCTTTTTCCCCACAGGACTACTTATCTATTAAGGGTGAGAAGGCTAAATAGAATCAGGATTTAAAAAGGGATTGAAAAAGTAAGCCTGAGCTGGGTTCTTCCTCAGGATTCTCAGGGGGTGGGGAACAAGTTTTCCATTTTCTAATTCCCAGGTATTTATTAGACAGATCTTTGGGAAAATGTTAAAGGAACAGACATGTTCTTTGTTCATAAGGCCTTCATTTAAATACCTAATCTAATTTTCCTTCAGAAGCGCTATTGGTTTGGTTTGATTCAGTTCAGTTTTGTGGTGGTATATGACTTTCTTATAGCTGTTTTAAAAATTCTCAGAGACTTGAAGTGGCAACAAAAAAAATCAGTTTTTCATGTCTGGAAGTCAGATGTTAAGTTTCTTCTGGGAATCAATTCCAGGTTTTCTCCTTGCTCTTGGTTTCTGGCAGTCTTTGGTGTTGCTTGGTTTATAGACCTATCACTCCAATCTCTGGTTCTTGTGACTCATGGTCTCCTCCTCTACTTCTGTCTTGTAGATGTGGAGTCTGTCTGGTAATTAAGGAGGATCTCCAGCTCAAGACCCTTACCTCACTACACCTACCAAGACCCTTTTCCCAAATAAAGTCATGTTCTCAAGTTCTGGGGGTTTGAACTTAACACAACCCAGGGTAGGGATATCATCAGAACCTGAGTAAATGCATCCCAAAGACATGTGCCTTTAAGCCTTGCAATTCTGCTAGAGAGACTTGGTCTCTAGGGTGATGGTGACCACTAGGCTTCAGAATTTGGAGAAGGTCAGGCCTTTATAGATGCTGTGCTCCTAGCAGGGCCAGAGGGTGTGACTGAGAAAGACAAGTAGGCTGCAGTAGGAGAGAGCTGTTGGACTACCTTCAGTGGCTTGTATGGGGTTCATGCTTCTTGGATAAATAGAGATACATAGGTACATTTCTGACCAGCACTTTATCCTGAAAGGGACTCAGAAAGCAGGTGTGACCCAGGTTTCACAGCAGGATCACCCGGAAGCTTGAAACATTTTGGTTTGGGCTTTATGGTATGGTCAAGCCAAAATCTGAGGGTGGCCCAGGTGCTGGTTGGGACCAAATACCCTTCTCAGAAGGTCAGAGCCCTTGACACTTCTTTGCACTGAAGTATGGTGTATGATTAACTACACATTAGATATCAAGGATTTGAGATTATACCATCTTCCCTGACATGGGACATGCTTCTTTCTTTTCTGGAATTATTTAACTAGACCTAGAAAAACCAGTTGTTGTTTTTTTTCTCTCAAGGGAATTAGCCTACTTGCTTTTAGGAGCTGTGCCCCTGGCAGACAGCTTTTAGATTCAGACAGCTAGAAACATGTCCTTCCCAGAAGTCCCGTTACTGTTCCTTATGCTCTCTTCCTGTTGGCCTATGACCAAGAGAAATCCAGAGAGTCAGTAAGAGATAGTGCAGAGTACTTTACCCACTGTAGTAACAAATGATAAGGTGCAGATTGTAAGTAGAGATGATGTCAAAATAGGAACAATTGCAGCCCTGTGTGTGATGCTGTCAGGCATGGTGAGACCTTGCAGCATTTCCCCTTTCAAGGGGTGGGTGTTTGGTGAGATAGAGCAAGCACTTTGGAAACATCCTCCGTCCTCTTTACCTAACAGCTTGGTCCTCACAGTGACTACTTAATTGGAGTGGCTTTCATGGTACCATGTTTGTCACCACCAAAGGCTGTGATGAAATAGACTATATATCTGATGACACAGGCCTGCATAGCCAGCATTTTGAACATTTTGTTACATGGAACACTCTGAAGTATGGTATAAAAAGGCCAGAGGATTAAAAAAATAGTGTGAAATAAAGAAGACCTGCAAGCATGCATACTGTCCTCAGTTGGTGGATGTAGGGGTAGAATTGCCTATTTCTATGCCTTTAATTCTCATAGGAAGTAGCTGTTACACATGGATTTGAGGTTTCCTCTGCCTGACTGAGAAAAGCTCATTGTTGACACAGCAGAGTGATGCAAGGGGCAAAAATCAACTGACATGGGGCCTGGATTTCCTGTGAATGCAGCAACAAAGTACCACACGTTGGGGGCTTAGGCAACAGAAGATTTCCTGTCCTGCCTGTTCTAGGGCAGGGGTCTGAGATAAGTGTGGGCAGAGTGGGTTCCTCATAAGAGATAACCCATTCCAGGCCTCTCTCCCACTGTGTAGCAGGTCTCAGCAATTCCTAGTGCTCTCTGGTTGGACCTGCAACTCTGGCTCTGCCACTTTTGTCACGTGGTCACCTTATGTGTTTCCTTTTTTATAAGCATATCAATATCAAACAAAGGTGAATATTTGGTAACGTGAAAACTTTTTGTTCAGTATCTATCTAGTGATTGTAGTGTGAATTCTAATTGGTCTTAATAATAAAAACCCGGAGTAAGATATTAGGGGGTGAAAGCCGAAAGATCAGATAAGCAGAGCAGCCAGCCACTAGTTCTCACCTCTATGAAATCCTCAGACCAAATGCTCTGAGTTCCTGTTTCCTCCCAGCTTATATTCCTCTCTGGGACAGCGATATCACTTCCTGTCTCCACCTCCCTAGTGCTGGGATTAAAGACATGAGATTTCAAGAGCTGGGATCAAAGGTGTGAACTCTGTTTCTTTTATACTGGTTCAATCTCACATAGCCCAGTGTGGCCTTGTACTCCTGATCTTCCTGCTTAGACCTCCCAAGTGCTGGGATCAAAGGTGTGTGCCACCACTGTCTGGCCTATATGGTTAACTAGGTTGCTAGCATCACCCTCTGATCTTCAGGCAAACTTTATTTGTTAGAGCACAGACAAAATATTATAAGTGACAGTGATGGAAAGAGCCAATCTGCAGAGATGGTCAGAACATCATGAATGTTTTAGGTTTGGCGCTGTGGTCAACATCATGGATATGGAGGAGAGAGGAAGAGGCATCTAATGACTACTGGGCTTTTGGCTTTTCACACCTGGGTACCTGGACCATCTGTCTACCACTGGGACGACTAGGGAAAGGGATGCCAGAGTTGTGAGAGAGAAACAGTTCAGTGTTCAGTTCTGATCCAATCAGGCTCAGTGTGAGATGTTCTGGGTCCCTTCATCTTGCCTTGATTTGTTAGGTCAGTTTCACATTGAAGCTGCAGGCTTTTCATTTATCCATTGCTTACTGGCAACCAGTGTGATCTGGTAAATCTGTTTCCATTTTGCTTAATGTCTTTCACTGATTTTTTGTTTCTTCAGGTCTAAACTCCATCCTCAGCTTTGTGTTACTCTAACTTCATGTCATCTTCCCTAAAGGCCCAGCCCTTCCACACTGGCCTTTTTTCTTTTCCTCAAACCCACTAGTACTTCTGTGTTTTAAGGTCTTTGCCTCTGTTGTCTCCTTTGCTGAGAAGGCTCTGTCCTCTAATCTGTACAGTTGATTTTTTTTTGTTATTCAGATCTAAGTGTAAACAAAAGTTCTTTTATCTGAAGTCTTCGTCCTAAATCACAGTACCTTCATCCTAATCACATTACTCACGGAAAAAAACCTGACCTTTTGTATTCTGTTGTTTCTTCCCTCCCACTAGAGGGAGACAGAAGCCTTATCAATTCAATTTAGTAACACTATACAACTTGTGTTTACTGATGGCTGAACTTATCTGACATGACATCAGGATTCCCCTGCTAATAATTTCAGAGACATCACCTATCACCACAATTGGTGATTTATAGAAGTTATTATATTAATGTACTACAAATGATAGTACAGAAATCATATTTTAGAACTATAGTAACTATAGCTTTTTATTTTGGTGCTGAGGATGGAACTCAGGCTCTTGCACATGCTAAGCATGCACATCACCACTGAGCTACAGTCTCAGTTTATCAGCTTTTCTCTGTATCTCCCTACTCTTTTCTCTGATAGTCCCATTCTGTAGCCCTGCCTAACTTGGAATTTATTATGTAATTCAGATTGGTCTTGAACTTACAGCCATTCTTTTGCCTCAGCCTCTCCAGTGCTAGGACTACAAATATGTTCCACTATGCCTGACTAGCATTTTTCATTTTGTTCAGAATTTGAATGGGTATCTGGACGTAGTGGTACACATAATTCTGGCACTTGAGAGGAAATGACAGGGAGAGTGCCAGGAGTTTGAGGCCCGCTTGGGCTACAAAGCAAGACTTGGTTTCAGATAAGAAAAACAGAATTTGGAAGGATGGATCATGTGAGCTTCATAATGTATAGTGAAAGAAACCGATTCTGAGGTCATATGGACAAATCCTAGTCTGAACATTAATGGAATCCCTGAGCCTTTGCTTTCTTATTTGTAAAACTGCAAATCAATTTTAGTTTAGACCCAAGTCTAGATTTTTCATTAGGTTTTGAGTGCTGGTAAGAAAGTCAGTTAGACCTGTCTGGTAGAGCATGCACTTGAAGTTGAAGCAGGATGCTAATGAGTTCCAGGCTAGCCTAGGCTACATAGCAAGATTTTCTCTCAACACAAACAAAAAGTCAATTGGTGAATTCCTGGAGATGAGTGGGGTGTAGAGAGAGTGATAGTTTTAGGTATATAGTTCTTTGGGGGGTGGGGTGAGGATGTTCTGAAATTGGTTACTGTGATTCTCATGCACCTCTGAATATGCTGCAAACCATTAAAATTTTATACTTCAGATGAGTTACATGTTGTATATGAATTAGATCACAATAAAACTGGCATTTAAAATGTTATCTAAGTTCTGTGCAGTTTCCCAGAAACTTTCGTGACAATGCAGCTGAAGATACAGAAAGAGTTGAATATTTGCATTTGAAGCTGTTTGACAAGTGACCTGTTGATGGATTCTTGGTGTTCCACTAACTAGAAAGGCAGAACTGGAGGTGGGGCATGTGCGATTGCTTTGTCTCATGAAATAGAATGATCACACCATGTCCTTTCTTCAGAGTCCTAGGGTTGGAACTAACTGAAGATTAGCAGCTGCCTCTAACCAGCATGGACTGGTGGGCTGACCAACAGATGGACACTGCTGCTTCATCAGACAAACAGAATTAGATGGGCAACTTTGGTAGATACTTGCCAGTGAGGAAGCAGAGACCTCTAGGCATCACAGCTTTTTAAAGATTCCATTGGTGTCAGGTGTTCCAGGATCAGGACTGAGGATAAAATTTGATTTGTTAGTCTGGCAGAGCCATGATAGACACATGTCTATCAGACCTAGAAATAATGACTTATCCCATATTCAGGGGTTGCTGGCAGCTGGAGTGAAGGGCTTTGTGTCTACCCTAGCAAGCACTGCAAAGCAGTCACTGCACAGAGAAAGCCGAAATTAAACAACAGCAGCAGCAGCTAATCCCATAAAACTAACCTTACAATGCAATGACATGCTCACAAACAGAAGTTTCTATAATGCAGACTTATGGCCAAAGAAAAGAGGCCCAGTTAGATGGCTCAGTGAGTAAAGGTGTTTGCTGCCAAACCTGACTACCTGAGTTTAATCCTCAGGACACATGATAGAAGGAGGACTCTGATTTCCATGTATACCCTTCCACCTCCCCCATTAATAAATGTAACATAAATCTTTTTAAAATTGTTTTTATTGAGCTATATATTTTTCTTTTCTCCTTTCCCTTCCTCCCCCTCCCCTTCTACAC